CTTTGTTTCTTTGTGTTTCTTGACCTCCGCCCCCCATCTTTTACCTTCATAGTAATTCTTTCCATCTGCGGGTGTTTTATGGAGGTCTGCTTACTCCTCTCTTCTCTGTTTGGTTCAGCATTCAAAGCACAATGTCTGGCACACAGTTAAGTGTTGGACAAAATCCAAACTCATGCAATCCTCATAAACACTGCACTGGGCCTCCTTGTCTACATTTCAGACGAGGATTCCTCGTGCCGAGCAATGAGACAGCCTGTAGGTGGGGGGCAGCGGTGGTACAATCCCCTGGACAGGGAGTCACCTCACCTTATCCTAATGCGGTGGGCCTTCCATAAGCAGCCTCCGTGATCACCTGAAGTCCACCCTGAGGCCGTGCTCAGTACCTCACTGCATTCCCCTCACCAGCCCATGCTCCAAGTCACCCTGGGAGTGATGGCCACCTCACAGCCAGAGGCTGTACATCACACTCTTACAGCAGAGACCCTCACCTCCACCCCTCCCTTCTCTCTACCGCACAGCCTCCCAAATCCCCTTGCCTACAGAGCCCTAGTTCACAAAGGGCAATATCAGGACCAGTGGTGGGTGACAGAATAAGAGTTTAGAGGACGTACTGAAGAACAAATTTTTTAAGTTATGTTGTAATTTCATGTCAGCAAACTAGCAAATCAAAAATGTGATTTCAGATACAATGATATAAAATTTTTGTTGCAAACAAATTTGTTTAATTAAATATAGTGAGTTGGTTTAAAGAAAACGATTGAGCAAACAGCAGCATGGGTAGTGCATGGGGTGAGGGTGGGGTGTAGATGGCTCACATCTGGGGAACACTGCTCCAGGATGGCTCTGCTGGCCCACATGATCAAGGACCCCTCAGCAAGGGAAAGGGCAGAGCAGGGTTGCACAGAAAGCTGTATTCAAATGCCCATCTTTCCGCAAGCATGCCCCCTGTGGGTTTCATCCTTCCTCAAACAGCTTCTCCAGGCACTCAGTCAACACAACAGGTCTTTTCCTAGGGGACAATTCTGCTACTTCTTAAAAAAAAAAAAAGGTTTTCTACACATCGCTACAAGATCATTATAAACTGTAACAGGTGCTATAAATGGATGAAGTTACAACTGGCCAGGACCAGATCATCTTAGATCTGGCACATTGAGGTAGGGAGTTGGAATCTTATTCTAAATATGATAAGAAGCCAGTGAAGGCTTAACAAGAGAAGCATTAGGATTCTATTTACCTGGTTGCTGGGGTGGAGCATGATTTGGGAGGCGGTAAGAATGTAGGCCGATTCTTGGAAAGCTACTGCAGTAGCTGAGGAGGCTTGGGCCCAGGAGGTGGCTATGACAATGAAGAGGAACAACGGGCTGGATATAAAGCATCTAGCACAACACCATGAAAACACTTGCTCAACAGACACGTGCTGACCACCTCCAGAGCTAGATTCTACTCTTGGCTCTGAAGATTTAAGGGTAAACAAGACACAATTCTGTGCTCATGGAGTATACATATGGGGCGAAGGGCCAACAGAAAAAATTCAATAAGAACTCAGGCAATTACAAGTGCTCTGTTGAAAACAAAACAGGAAAAGGTGACCAGGGGACCACTTAGGTGGTCAGGATGGGCCACTAGGAAGAGGTGACAAATTTCATGAAACTTTGCTCTTGTAACAGAGGCTCAATAAATGATCATTACTATTAATAAAAACAGTACCGAGTGAAGACCTGGTCATCAGAATTGCTTAAATGTCCCAATATGCTTCCTTTATTAACTCTCCAAGAGGATCACACCTGACCCCATTTTAAAGACAGGTAAGCCACCACATCTAGCAGCCTCTTGCACATCCCATCTAATCGGCTGAAAGGGAGTATGGTTTTTGAGGCTAAAATGAAACATGGGGAGCCTCCAATAAACACTGAACCACTCCATCATTTTGTAACGAAATCTAGCTGCAACACTATGAGAGAGACTGAAGGTTTACTTTTACCCGTTCTCAACCTCTAACTTCATGAGTGGGAACCACTAAGTGGGAAACTGCAGGAGCATAATGCAGACTGCAGTTGACTGACTGACATGAGCACAGACCAGCTCTGAACCCAGCTGGAGGCTGAGTCAGCAGAAAAAGTCTCCTGACAGAGACAACAGAGATTTCAGGTAGCTTAAAACATGTCTGTGGTCTGACCTTTCTTTGTATTTTCGATCTCAAGGGTATGGAAGCATCTGCTTAAGTATGTCTGCTACACCGAAGACAGAGTTTTACATGTCATGGCCTAAAAGTGGCTTCCAACAACAGGCTCATTTTATAAATACTGCAATAAAGAACTGCATTTTCAAAAACACAGTTACCTTTCATAGTAGTGATTTAACTAGTTCATGCCTGACAACTCCATATTATACTAACTTTCCTACTTACGGAGGGGTACATTTTTGCAACAAATTTCATGCTGATGGGTTCACTGAGAAGTGATGTGAGCACATGCCACTCCTGATATTTTTCCTCTGATCCCAGTTAAGTGCACAGGAACTCCTGCTTTGAAAATGGAAGAGGCCCAAATCTTTTTGGCCCTGCTCTGAGGCAGAAAGCTTTGAGGCTTCACAGCTCCCCTGCTCCTAAGAGGGTTAGAGTGTGGAGATAAAACTGCTGTTTAAGAAAATTCCAACGCTGCCCACAGGAAAGCTCCACATCAGCGGCCATGTTTGTTTTGCTCTTCACTTTAGGCCAGTGCCTAGCTCAGTGCCCAGCACAAAGAACACGCGATAAAGATGTGTGCAAGAAGGAAGGAAGGAGAGGCCAGAGTTTTGATCAGATTTCTTCATTTTCACCCCCAGGTGATATTTATTTTAAAGCACATAGTTCTGCCTTTGATCAGTAATCAAAGAGTAACAGCTACTGTCAAGGACTAGCCTGACCTAGTCAACCTAAGACCATCAGAGTTCCACAAAGGTTGACAAGAGTCCGTTTACTACTGACTGAGGGAGCTGACCCACGGCTCCTTGCAAACATCATCCCTAAGACTCACAACAACCCTGAAGGCTGTAAATTACCCTACTTTACTCATCAAGAAATTAAAGCTCAGAGAAGTGTCCTTCCTCAAAGTTACATGGCTAATAAATCCTTGTCCATCTAACCCCCAAACCCTCACAGAGCAACTCGGAACACCCACGCCCCAGGCCTGCGCCAAGCCCATAAAATGTTCCTCTAGATACTGTAAGCCAGTGGTTTACAAACTTTTTTTTTTTTTTTTTTTAACTATAAGAGGAAAGTTTCCTTCAGATAAAATCTGACTAAAAGCATAAACAAACAGACACGTATCTGAGGCATAGGACGATGCCCTCCTTCAGAACTGCCCTCAGCCACTGGAGCAAAGCAATGAGTGCCACTGCGTGCTTTCAAAATATTGAGTTCAACTCAACCAGTCACGCCATCTGGCTCTACCATCTCCTCACTTTTCTTGGTGCTTAAATGTTGGATAGCTCCTTCAAAAGGTGGTAGGGCAAAACCGGACATGTTACTCAAACAGTAATGACCTACCACTGCACAGTTCTATAGCTCCAGCTCCATGCCTGGCTGAAGGAACAGCAAAAGAAAAGAAATGGAGGTTGGAAAAGATGGGAGCATTCAGTAAAAGGTATTTATATGAAGTGGCCGATGCCCATGGCTTGAAGGACTGGTCTGGGGGGAGATCAAGTCAGGAATGAACTGAGTAGCACTCTGTAAACGGCCTTCAATGTTATAACTGAGCACTGTGGACTTTTCTTTTTATGCAAAATTAAGTGGAAGAATGATATGATTAGATCATAAATATGCCTAAGAACAGACTGATTAATGTCTTAGAGGATTTGCTCTTGATTCAAAAAGAAAGGGTGATAGGAATGAAAATATCTGTGTAGTTGGTAAATTAAAACGGCATAAAATATGACTGTTTGTTTCAGAGTACTTAGGAGGCCTGAGACAGCAGGACAGGTTTTGTCACGTTGTTCAGATCTTCCTGTCAGGATTTGTATCAGTGTTTGGCCAGCTGACAGAGACATGGGGAGAAGGTCCATCTCTGCAAGGAACCTGCGTGGACATACCAGCATGGACAAGGGGTTGACCAGAGCCTGTGTCTGGGCTGAGAGATGAGCAGTGCATGGGAACAAGCTTACCGAATGTGAGACACTGCCTGCTGCCCCCTGGGTCACCCCTAGCAGCTGACATGCTCCTGGCAGGCTACTCAAGTGACTATACCACAGGTCTATCAGGTGCTGTTGGATGGCCAATTCACCCCCTCAGCTCTCCTCTTCCCGGCCACCTTCTAGCCAGAGGTGGCCTTGTAATCCAGTTCCGGACAGTGAGATGTGAGCACAAGTCAGGCGGCTGGGTGGGGCTTCTGGGAAAGCTTTTGCCTTCCTGTTGTAAAGGGTCACTCAGCTGATGGACCACTCCATCCTTTATCATTCTTCTTATTCCTGCCAAGGCCACAGCCATGGTGCCTAGAGGTCTAGCTCCCACCTTGAGACCATAAGGTGCTAAGCATGAGGATAACAACATGCTAAGGAAGGTGACACAGAGAAAACAGAAAGTGCCTGGGTCCCTGGCAACATCTGTGAGCAACTGCATCAGCTTTGAACCACCTACCTCCAGATATCTTGTCATCGGAACCACATAAAATCCAGAATTAAATTTAAGTCACTAGAGTTGGCTTTTTGTTACTGTCAGTCAAATGAGTTCATAATTGAGGTGACAGTTTCTCTGGTGACTCTCTGAGATTTCTTTTACCTGAAAGTAAATTATTTCTACTGGAAGCAATGGGGTTTTCTCCTATTAGTCACCCCCTCAACACACTCAGAATTGCCTCACTAGAAAAACATAACTGCCATACACCTCATTGTATTGGTCCCAGAGCAGATTAAAGAAGTGTATCATGAACTGTATGTCTTTAAAAGAAAAGACTATAAACACATGCAAGGTATAAGAATATAAAAACCCCAAGCTACAAAAATAACATATTTCAGTGGCACTCTACCTTAGAAACGTTACTTGAATGACTCATGGAATGTCCCAAAGTCTTCTCATTCTGTAAGAAAACCAAGCAGGTGTTAAGTATCAAGCTTTAATTAAAATGTGCAAAGAAGTAATTGATCATAACAATCCTACTGACAAATCATTCTGTCAACTAGAATTTGCTGAGCACAAACTACTAGGTACTGGGCCAGCTATTAGATACTGGAGAATTTGGCAAAGATGAATAAAACAATAGTTCTTGCCCTAAATGAACTTAAGTTAACAAGAAGAGAACAGGAATTTGGAATTAACTGTAAAAATAAGAGAGTGAAAAGTGTCTTAAGACACATTCAAGTGGAGGTTCAGAGGTGAGAAATTGCATGTTCAGTTATATGTCGTGTGGTCCACGCTGTGAGGAGCCACTGAAGAATGCAGAAGGAGAAAAAAGGACAGCTGACCCCATCCAGGTCATTTGGCTGCAAAGTGTTGACTACTCAGCAGGCACATCACACAGCTCTCATCTACTCCCTCAAGCCTGTTTCTCCTCCTGGATCAGAGAAATCTGAGAGTCATGCTAGCCTCCTCCCTCTCACACCCTTCCGTCTTCAGTCACCAGGTCTTGTATCAAATTCTTTCTCCTTAATGTCTCTGAATCTCAAATCTCATCTCCATTTCTATCATCAATGCCTTAGTTTAGGTTCTCTTCCTTTCTTACTTGGAATTCTTGAATAACTTTCTACCTGGTCTCTCTGCTTTTAAGTTGACCTCCTTGATACATAATTGTTATGGACTGAATTGTGTCCCCTCAGAATTCATATATTGAAGTCCTAATCCCCAGTACTCAGAATGTGACTATATTTGGAGATGGTGTCTTGAAGGTAATTATGTTAAAATGAGGTCTTTAGGGTGGGCCCTAATCCAATATGAATGGTGTACTTTTAAGAAGAAGCTATTAAGACACAGACAAGCACAGAGGAAAGATACAGGGAGAAGATGGCCGTCTACATGCCAAGAAGAGAGGCCTCAGGAGAAACCAAACTTGCTGACACCTTGATCTAGGACTTCTCCCTTTAGAACTGTGAGAAAATAAATTCCTGTTGTTTTAACCACCCAGTCTGTGGCACTTTGTTATGGTAGCCCTAGCAAACGAATACAATAATCTTCCACACTTTAACTTTCTAAAGAAAAGTGAATGTTCCAAATGTAAATCTGATTTTTAAAAAGAAGAAAGTAACGTTTCTTGAACCCATTCATCTTGCTCTAAACCAAATGAATAAAAAAAACTATTACAAATGGAACAGATGATATTTTAAAGATTACCTATTCTCTATTCAGTTCACATGCCATGCGATAATCATGAGGAAGACCAAAGAAGGTTGAGATGTAATTAGGAGGTAAAATTCGTTGGTCAATGAGAAGTACAAGTAGAGCTAGTGGATCATTTAAGAACTCCTTTGAGGAAGAGTTGATTCCATTCCACCAAGGCTCTCCTTAAAGAAAGCTAGCCATCAAGAAAGTTTTATTTTCTACTTCCCCTCAACCCACCAAATTACAGACTGCCTTGACTTTTGTATACTTGGCTTTTGAACACCTGATATCCCTAAAATGCTGATGAAGAAATGTTTCAAGATCTCCTAGGTGGCCTGCCAGCCAGCACTTGTTATGGCAATGCTGTCTTCTTTGTCTTTATAGCAATGCTGTTTGTGCAATTTTTTGAATATTTTTATTATATTTTCACCTTATTTTATAAGTCTAAGTAGAAATAAAAATTCAGGTCTCTTAAGTGTTATTAAGTGTTCAGTCTCAATGGAATGTCTCTTGGTCTTAAGCTAGTCAATTAGACGGTTAAAAAGGAAAAGAATAAAATTATAAAGTATGCTCAAAGTGTTGGCAATATATCATCAAAGACTGTTTCTAAAAGACCAGATTTAATTAGGCATTTCATTCAATCACCTTATTCACAAACTGACTCACTGGGAATGGAGAGTCCCCCTGTCCACACAACAGATAAATCTATTACCATTCAGGTTTCATTCATGAGTCAAGAATGTATTATGGATAAACACAGGGTACTGCTATGAATCCAGGCTTAAAGGCTTACCTACACGAGATTTACTACTAAACTTTAAATTAATCTACTAAATTAAAACAAAGTACCATATGCCTTGGATTATTTGTACAGAAAACCAATTATAACCACTATCATATTACCTGCTACCTTACAAGAAATGGCCAGTTGAACACCATCTGGAAATCTACAAAAAAGTTCTGAGGTACTAAGAGCAGCAATAATTCACATCCTAGATCTTTCTGACATTCATTATTTCATAGAGAATGAATATTGGGGTGGAGAGAGGCCTACCCGCTAAACTCGATAACATTATAAATCCTGACTGGGATCTAAAAGTTGCTCTTTACCTTACTTATGAACTTGAGAAATAAATTTAATGCTGTAAGCCTTTATTCTGTTTCCCTTGTTAGAACAATTCAATATTGTACATTGGTAAAATCAAACAAATAACTAGCCCCAGAAGATATAGATGTTTTAAAGCCTGAAACCTGTCAATATTTAGGATTGCTTCTCCACTACCTGGTAGGAAGTTAACAATTCAGTTCCAACAGACCATGTTTTGTTTTGTTTTATTCCGTACATACTGCTGCTTATCTGAACTTACTGAAAAATCCAAGAAGTTCAGCACCATAACAGATCTACTTTTCAGGAAGCAAATCCCAGGGTTCATTCAAATCAGTTACTCATTCATTCCATACTTATTTACTATGCAGCTACCATAGGCAAACAACTGTTATCAGGCACAAAATATGGACAAAAATAAATCTGACTCCTAGGCCTGTGGCAATGATAATGTTACCTCAGAACTGCTTTGAAATAGTGTTTTGATGAGGAATGTACCTCTAGGGAAAAGTTGAAGAATGACATAAAAAACCACATACATAAATTATATCAGGGTAGAGTGGGTGATACCATTCTCTCCTACAGTCAGAATAGCATGTTTCTGAATGAGAAAAAGGAAAGTTTACCAATGGTGGTTTATCAAACACCAACGTCAAGAACTGGAATTAGGAATACCAAAGAGAAAAAGAGTTCCATTCCAGTTCAAGCTGAAACTAAGCTTCAATGCCCAAGTGATAAAAACTTTGGCAAATTATTTTCATATAATCTTAAATACATTCAGTCATTGCTTAATGGGTGCCACCATCTTGTAGCCCTGGGAGAGATGAAAGCCTTACTGCGTCCTCTGTCCTCAGAGAAGGCATCGGGGGATGTCACAGTGTGCTACCACACACTTCCCTAGCTTGCTCTCATCTCTTTGGTGGGCTCTTTTTGTCTACATTAAACATGAGAGTTCCTCAGAACACAGCCCCATGCCCTCTTCTCCTTTGTTGTCTCCCTTAGACCACTGCTTCTGAAACTTTGTGCCCTTGAATCATTTAGGGATGTTGCTAAAATGCAGTCTGTGATTTGTTAGTAGATTGACAAGTAGACTGAGATTCTGAAATAGATTGAGCTTCTGCATTTCCAATAAGCTCCCAGGTGACTCCCACGCTGCTGGTTCCCAGATCATACTTTAAGATGCAAATTTCATTCCCAATCCTGGGCCAGAATAATCCATAAAGGCTATGACTCATTTTTTAAAAAGCAAATCATGACTACTGTAAAAGTAAATTTCTGGGTCAAAGATGGCAGTGAGCTCACAATTGAGTTACTACAAATAAATCCATCAGGAAACTGGTATGTAGATTGGGAAAGAGTGAGGGTGTGAGAAAGAAAAGTTTTGTTAATGTAAGAAGTTACCAAGTCACAAAGATAAAGAGAAGCTCTGTGGAACAATAAGGGACGTTTCACAATTCAATCTTGTCAATGATGTTTTGCAAGTCCATGTGTGGCTCCAATAGATTGTACCTCAGGGGTAGAACCAAGATGCAGAGCCCACAGAGACCAAACACACTCTGGAAAGTAGAAGCCAAGAATTAACAGGAAGACAATGAGGTGAGATGTCTAAGCAAGTTTCTGGGATTCTGTATAAAGGAATCGAACAACAGAACTTCATATGGGAGTTTCCTTGAAACTCTGACCAGGACTGGTCATTAAAAACAAACAAACAAAAAAAAACCTATGCGTAACAGACATAGCTAACTGTCTACCCAATATCCATCCCTACCAACATAACTTCAACTTTGTTCTGAGCAGCAATGGATCCAACTAAAAGTTCTCACTTTCTCACACTATTTTGCAGTTAAGGGTAAATATGTCAGAAAGTTCTCTTTAAAAAAATTAGCCTTGAGGTTTTCTGGGAAAACATTTTGCTTTCCTGATATAGCCACGGCTGCTTTCTCCAGTATTCTTCCTTCCCTCATCTACCCTGGAATATAGATGTCATTCCAGGAGGTACAGCAGTCACATTGGGACCATGAGGAGAAAAAGCATACGCAAAGAAGTCTCAAACTGTTTGGTCTCAAGACTCCTTTACAATGTAAAAAATTACTGAGGACTCCCCAAACTTTTTGTTTATGTGGGTTATATCTATTGATATTTTCCATATTAGAAATTAAAATTGACAATTTTAAGAATACAAATCTCAGGGCCAGCCTAGTAGCATAGTGGGTTAAGTTTGTGTGTTCTGCTTCGGAGGCCCACGGTTTGCAGGTTTGGACCCCGGGTGCAGACCTACGCACTGCTCATCAAGCCATGCTGTGGTGGCATCCCACATACAAAAAAAAAAAAAAAAGAGGAAAGTTGGCACAGATGTTAGCTCATGGCCAATCTTCCTCACCAAAAAAAAAGAATATAAATCTCTTAATTCATTTAGACTTATCAATAATAAACCCAGTTAATATAAATAACACTTCTATGAAAAATAAATATTTTTCCAAACAAAAAATATAAGTGATCACAGTAGCATGGTATTACATTTTTGTAAAGCTTGTTAATGTCTAATTAGTAGAAGACAGGTGGATTTTCATATCTGCTTGTACATTCAATCTCCTCTGATATGTTGTTTTGATTGAAGTAAATGAAGAAAATTTGGCTTTATATAGTTAAGTAGTTAGAAA